AAAGCTTTAAGAAAAACACTGGTGCTAAAACAGCTTGGTTCATTTAGATTAAAGAAACAAAATCGGAACTACAATACTGAAAGATTCGTTTATTAATGTGAAGGCTGAATGCTAAATTAAGGTGATAATTAATAAAACTAAAGCATTTTAATACGGCATTTCTTACCCGACTTTTTTATCTACTTTCATCGTCCAAAAGTCGAAAGGGGAAAATTATACAAGTAATTTCATTAGTAAGTAAAATGCGGTTACAATAAGAACATGACAAATTAAGAGCAGTCTTAGATAAACTACTAGTATCAGTCACAGTATTACTTCTTTAAAAGAAACATACATTCCAACATGAATACATAATATTACGAACATTACAATAAATGTTGGTAATTGAGCAAGTGCGCGACGTCTCCCATCGTAGAAATGAAGAGAATGGTGCAAAAGAACGTTTAGATTTCGAAAGCTCAAACACATCAGCAGTAAATAAGGCTACAGTGAGCTGGAACTTTAATAACTTAATAAAGGAAAATTTATATGTTAGTAAAGTTTCCTAAGTGTCAGAACACCTTCCACGTCCGGATAGTTCAACGAAGTCTTTCCACAAAATACATTTCAAATATAAACGCAAAGGAAAATAAAATGGATAAAATACTAATACAAATATGCAAGTACAAACTGAATACTCTGAATAAAACGGAAAATAATCTAACGAATACAATTTACCAATAAACATAGAGTAAAATTACTAGGTACAATATAAGAAGGAATAAATTAGGCAAATATTTTAAAACTTTTGATAGTTTAGCGCCAAAACATTGAGGGGAAAATGCGCGAAGAAATACGATAAGTCATTTTAATTAGGAAGCGCGTATATTTGACATCCACTTTTAATATATACGTAATAGATTAGAATTTGTATAGTGTAAACCAACCGTACGAATACATTAGGAAGTACACCTAATCTCTTTATTACAATTATATTTATTACATAAGATATCTTGAGATGCATCCGTAGTATCACACTGAAACACATTTATGACAGGAACTACCTAAACGGAATCAAATCTGCTAAATTAATTTTACTAAAAGCGAATACTATATTTTTAACAGAATAAATTTCATTTACTTGATAACATTTGCTTTCAGAAGAAGCATTTTTACTTCATTTTAAGTAAAATAATTGTTTTGAATTTGTATAATAGAAACCTATTAGGAAATACTTGTTGCAATATTCTCGACTTATTGAAACAAATTCACAGTTGTGTATGGAATAATTAAATCTTTTCTTTAATAAAATAGTCACTACATTTCACTCGACGAGAATTTATTACAGAAACTATCATAGGAAGTGTTTTCTTTTTATTTGGAACTGCAATATTTAACAGAACAATTGAAAATATATGATGTAATGAATTCAAAGCAAATGCATCCATATAAAATTAAAAATTAGATAAAATATCAACGTCAGTTTGGCTTAGGATTTTAAAATTAAACTTTATCGATTTACGGAGAGATAAGTTATGGCTCTTATCTTCAGAAGTAAAAATGTTGGCTTCTAAGCAAAAGGAATCTACATCTCATACCCCCAGGCTACCTTTAGGTGACAATTTTTTTCAACATGCAGGCCACACTGAAATTATTAGGTTAACTATAATTGTTAAGATTAACACTGATTAAGACCCTAAATTAAATGGACATAAAAACAGATTGTAATTTTGTTTTTAAATATCAAGAATTTTATGTTTTATTTTTTTTTAATTTAACTTTTCCAAAATGTAATAGTAAATTCTTCGAAGTGTACGTATTTTAATGTGAAATTTTCAAGTTATAGTTTACGTATCTGCGGACGATTAATGACCTAGAGAAAAACACTTCTGCCAGTTTTCTAATGTAGACTTATTAAGAACTTTATTACAGTAGTTTACAAAAACGCAAGATTAATAAAATATATCTTATAAATACTGATAATAAAAGTAAGAGAACAATCCCAGACCATCAAAAAATGAAGTCGCGTTTCACATCCAGTTGTGAATCACACACTGAATTATATACTTCATTTAACAAAAAGATGTTCGAAATATGACTGTTGAATTTTTTACTTCATTTTTGTTCTGTATATCATGAGAAGTTAAATGTCAGATAAACAAAAAAATGCAACGAAACTCAACTGAACTGTTCTAAACAACATGCTTTTATTTAGTGTTATAAAATTTAACTAATATTTTAATAACAAAAATATTACTTATGCATCTTAATTATATTACAAACATTACCTATACATCTTACAAAACATCAGCTCTTTAGAGCGAAAGTACACTACAAACAAGCACGAAAAAATGAAAGTTAGTTTTCAAATATTCTAAAATAAATATTTCTATATCAATCTGCGAAAGATTCTCATTCAAAACAACAATGCTTAAAATGATACGTAAATACATGGTATTATCTTTGAAGGGACGAATCAGGAGAGATTTTCATTTTATGTTTTCTTGATAAATGGTAGTATGATACATTTTAAAGTTTAAATTTGTCATTCAACGAAAATCGTCAAGTATACTTATGAATGAAACTTACTTTTGAAATACGGTATAAATATATTTGGTATTAGAATATTTTTTGCACTCAATTTTAAGATTCAGCAGCATATATCCAAGAAAGACAGAAATTATTTTGTAATATTTCAACGAACTGACTGGAATTTGGATATTAAATCTTAATAGAACCCTCGAACTCATTTACTGAAGCAATTTAAAGAAGCACTTAATTAAGTTACCAAAGTTACCGTGCGGTAAGAGTCATGTTAGTATTTATGTGGTAGTTGGTCATCATACTTTCATAAGTTTTAACACAGCTTGAAAAGGGAATCAATTTCTTATGCTTAAAATCCAATGCCTATCTCTGATGTAAAACAAATATATCAGTTTAATGGCATTTTATAGAACATGCTTTTATGAGAAGTAATACCCAAAATGTATAACATATTAAGAACCTCCTTCAAAGAAAAAGTATAAATATGAAACAGCGAAAGCTAATCACGTTAGGATAAAAATAATTAAATAAAAAAATAAAAATATATAAATAAGCTCATTTGTGTTCGAAAAGAAAAATAATTGATAAATTGATTCCCTAAATAACAGAATATTCTTTTCCTAAATATAAAGGAAAACATTTCAGGAGCAAAAATGCGTACAATTTAACGAAACTGTTAGTACTATATAATAATATACAGCCATATACAGATGGAGGACAAAATAATGCGAACACCTTTGAAAACGTATGACGTATTTCACACCTGCAGTACAGCCGCGCCACCTGCAACAGAAGTCTGCCACCTAGTGAGCATGAAGAGAAAGGTATCAGTCTCTCAACAGCAGTCACCTGCGTTGCATGCTTCGATCGAACTGTCTGTGAGAAGTTGAAATGTCAGACCTGTCAGAGTTCCAAAGAGAAATGATAGTTGGAGCGCGTTTAAGTGGAGCATCGGTTACGGAATTAGCAAACCTTGTGGGATGTGCAAAGAGTATGATATCAGCCGTTTTGACTGCGTACACAAAAGAGGGTAAGACGACGTCTTCAAAGCACAACAGTGGTCGAAAGTCAAAGCTGGCTGATAAGGATAGACGGGTTTTGAAGCGCATAGTAGCCGAAAGCAGAAGCAATCGTTATCCGAGATAACATCCGAATTGAACAGTCATCTCCAGGACCCCGTTTCAACAAAAACTGTAAAAAGGGAACTTCATGCTGCGAGCATTTATGGCAGAGTGACAATTCGTAAACCCTTGGTGACAGCAACTAATGCTTTCAAGCGACGCCAGTGGCACAGAGATAACAAAGGCTGCCCCCCCCCACAGCAGTAGCAACAGGTAATATGGTCAGGTGAATCGTCTTTCACGCTAGCTCAGACGACCGGACGCTTTTATGTCTGGAGAACGCCCAAAGAAGCGTTTCATCCTGACTGCTTCTTGCCGACTGTCAAGCATAAGAGGGGAGCCATTATGGTATTGGGTGCGATATCTTGGTGCGGTCTTGGCACACTGGTTATTCTGCATAGGAGGATCAGATCCAATCACTATCTAAGCATTCTAGTGCATCATGTCCATCCTTTTGTCCAGACTGTATTCCCTGGGGAGCATTTTACCATATTTACTCTTAGATATCCTCATTTTTTAGATACGCTCTTTAAATTAGATACCACCGTACAAAAATAAGATTTGATTCTAACTGATTGAATAACGGAACATGGGAAAGAGCACGACGGATATCTGCCTAAGGACAGAAAGGTCTTAATGGTTAGCTTTCTAATGAAAACTGGCTGCTATTCAAGTTGCACATTGTGTTTAGCATTGATTACACGTATCTGTTGATAAGTATATATTTTACGGTCTCATTCTGGATTCATTTAAAAAATCGGTTACTTTCAGAGGTTGATATATTTTACGTAATCAAATTTTACACTGAGGTTTTAATTAGACTGAGACACTTTACTTTATTTATCTACATATCGCCATCGGAAAATGCTAAATTATCGTGAAATGTTAAGCAATCGGAAAAATTAGTAATCTATTGTAAGTAAGTATTAAAATATCAGTAAAGTTAGTAACGCAACTGATTCTCAGATGGAGGGGAAAAAAAGGCGTAAAATCTCGAGGGAAAATTTGTGATAAGATGCAATCAATTCTTCCCGTGGAAGAAAGAATGCACTGAAAATTAGAGAACCCTAGAAAAACAGTAACTATATATTGCAATATGTAACTTTAAATCATTAGTTACGCAATTCTTTAGTCAGCCATGTATGTCAATTTTAATAATGCAACTGAATAAAACTCTTTAATTTCATATCATGTGCTAAATATTTACTGCTAATTTTTGGAATTATTTTTATTAGCTTAAATAAGCTATTGATCTCCAGTTTGGAATTGGTTTCTATAAACGGCGTAACACTTTTGAAATTGTTACCATCAAATATTATCGCCGTATATTATTTTTAAAGAAATTGCATACATGTGGGTGTCTTTCTACTTTACTTTAAGAATGACACCAATGTTAAGATTTAGTATTTTAATGAAAAAAAAAAAAGAAACAGAACGATGAAAAGAAGTAAGATAAAAATTTAGGTCCATAGCATAGGGTGCCATAACAATAGTGGTAATCCTCACACCAAATGGAAATGTTTTAAAGTCTCTTAACTACTACGTAATACTTTTTAGGATCCGTTCACCACGTTGCCGTCGCAGCATCGCTCACGCGCAGAAGTTGAGAAGTTAACTTATCACACAGCTTCGAGAATCATCTAGCTGCTGATGCGGTTGCCAGGTGCAGGAAGGAGGAAGGTTGAGTTGTAGGAGCGAATTACCACACGGCCATTATGCCTTGCCGGGCGTCCTCGCCTGGGGGTTGATCTGAAAAGAAAGAAAAAGAAAAAAAAAGTGAAAGAAAAAATTAATGTCCAGGTGGCGAATGTTAGGTTTGAGCACCACCGGTTCGTCTTATCAGCACAGGTTGGCATCATAATGGTTCCTTCATGGCGTATCTTTCGTACTTCATAACAATCAGAGGGATGAACTGTCTCATAAGGACCGAATAATTTGGGACGAAGTTTAAGTCCAAGTTTCAGTTCAAGTCGAAGATTCAGATCAAGTGGAAGTTTCAGTTCAGGCTGGATGGGCATTTGGTGTCCATGTTTATATTTGCGGGCAGGTTTGCGACGTTTCTTATACTGTCGTATATGTGCTTGCTGTAAACGGAGGAGGTTCCGTTGAGCTTCAATGCATAATGCAGCTTTTTCATCATCATGCTGTGTTAGCAATTTCATTGTTTTTTAAGTTCGTTTAAATTTTCTTCGTTTATACTTCCAGGCTTTCTGTTCTTTGGGAGTTTCTGCAGTTTTAGCAGGTGTTTTCTAGTTTGCTTGATCAGCACATGCTTGTTCAAACTGATTCAGTTTATTTTTCACAGTTTCTTCGGTATTCTGCACGTTTGGATCATTATTGACATCATTATCATCATTAGCTTCATGACTGTCAGCATCATCTGCGTTGTCATCAACATCATCTTCATTGACATGATCTACAGCAACGTCATCTTGATCAACATCATCTTCATTAGCTTCATGAGTGCCATCATCATCATCAGCACCATTAGCGTTATAATTGTCGTCATCATCAATATCATGATCTTGATCCATGTCGTCGTCTGCGTCATCACCATCTTCATCAACATCATAGTCATGAGCTCCATGATTGATATCAGCATCATCTTTGTCATCGTGATAATCCAAATCCAAATTCTCATCATCTAAATCCAATTCTGAATCGTCATGTGCAGCATCATCATTTTCCTTACTTGTTTTCTTCAACTGATTGTCATTTTCTGAAAATCTTCCATAGCAGTGTTAACTTCGTGTGGTTGGTGAGGAGTAATGATATGTTGAACTTCCAGAATTTCCGATTTTGAGGTGTTTGAAAGATCAGGTGGAAATGTATGATCATGAGTAACATTAGCAACATTAACAAAAATTTGATCATCATTATTGTCGCATAAATGAATACCATCTTTATCAAATGTAAATCGAGTTTGTTGCAAAAAGTCTATTCCGATAATGGCATCAAGAGGAATCATATAGTCTTTTACTACATGGATTTTAGCAGGTAAAATAGTGTTTTCAATTTGAATGTAGTCTTGAAAGAATCCAATACTTTGAACTGTGTCTCGGCCAAGTCCTGAGAATGTAATTCTGGAAGGATGTAATGGTGGAGAACCAATTTTGCGGTATGTTTTCTCCGTAATAAGTATTGCTTGTGAACCAGTGTCGTAGAGAGCAGTAACTGAGTTCCTTTAAGTTGAATATCAACATGCATAGGATTTTTAGAAAAATTTTGAGTAGAAAGTGCATTTACAGTACTATCAGATGTAGAACAATCAGGAGCAGATTCCGTGGTAGAACTACCAGAACGTTTGAGACAATTGGAATGAACGTGACCATAATTTTGGCAGCCATAACAGAATTTGCCATTAGATTTATTAGGACAAGTATTGCTTTTGTGACCTTCTAAACCACAAGAATAACATACTGGCTGTGTATTTGATGTACGTTTAGCATCAATTTTGGCATTGGAAAAGGAATTTGTAAATTTCTTAGGAGTATTTTGCTTCAAATGTTTTGAATTGTTAAAGAGTTTTCATAAATCTTCAGTTTTTCTTTAAATTCAGGAATGGATTTACAACTGTATAAAATTATTTTATTGTTTGATGAATCAGGAATACCATTGATAATATAATCAATCAAAGAAGAATCATCCATAGAACCTTTGTGTGCGAGGTCTCTCATAGCTAAAAAATATTCTTGTAAGGTTTCAAATGGTTTCATGTCAAATGGTTTCACGAGATTCCATTATTTTATGTAATTGAAGGCTATTAATTTTATCCGAAAATTCATCTAATAAATGGTGTTTTAATTGTTCCCAATTAGTAATTCCACGAATTGATCTTATTAATGTTAAAGCTGGACCTGTAAGACATTTTTTAACAAAAATTACTTGGTGTACAGGATTCGTGATCTCATAGAGATTAAAAATACCTTCTATGTCAGAAATAAAAGTTTCGACGCTGTAATTATCCCGAGAGGAAAAGGGTTTAATCAAATCAACAATGCCCTTTAAGCCAAAACATTGAAACGGAACAATTTGTGTTTGCGGGTTAGTTGATACCAATAAATTTTGCAGGCGCACTTTTAAGAGAGATTTTTGCCTCCATTTGTTTACATAAAGAGTCATTTGAAGCGTGATTAATGTTCCTTTTGGGCGACGCTATGCGTCGAGGGTGAACTTTGCACCAAGGCATCTTGGCACCAAGGCACCAAGGTCGCTGTAGTCAGCGGAATCTGATTTTAATAACGATACATCAGCTAAATTCGTAAGAATATTATTAGCACAGGTTCACCACCTTCACCACGTTGCCGTCGCAGCATCTCTCACGCGCAGAAGTGGAGAAGTTAACTTATCACACAGCTTCGAGAATCATCTAGCTGCTGATGCGGTTGCCAGGTGCAGGAAGGAGGAAGGTTGAGTTGTAGGAGCGAATTACCACATACATGTATGCATGTTCCGAGCATTTTGAACAAACAACGATACGCAATAAAACATTTTTATTTCCAGCGTGCGAGACTGTTGCCATTCAGAAAAATGTAATCTTTAAGTTTTAATTAACAAACTCTCCAAAAGCAATGCATTACAACGGCCGCAAATAAAACACTTTTATCTTCCAATCGCCAATGAACTGCCATTTAGTAAAGACTAAGATATTTTCAAATTTTATCTGGATTATTATTGGGCAATAAATTAAGCAAATTAAAAACAATAATCACTGTTCTAAGGATATGTTTTTCTACTTTTTAAAACATTTATTTAAATGAACATGTGCTAAAATGAGGAGAATATCTAACCAGAAGGAGTAAAAATTTTTACGAAATTTCACTAGCTGGACTCATTAAAATCCATTACGTACTTTTCCTTTTGAATGATACCTATTTTACGCTGTTCCTCCGCAAGTGGGTAGATTTTAAAGAAAGAATATAGCAAATATAACACTATCATGAATTCTAAAGATATACTGATTTTATATATTTGGTCATTTTACTACTGAATTGAATTTGATGTGGCTTAAGTGCGAAGAACATGGTGCTTAATAAAGTTAACACACAAAAAAAATTATAATAAAAACACACCAAATAATTTGTCTAAGAAAAATTGATATTCATATGACGAACTAAGGAAAGAATATTAAAAATATAAAAAATGTATGCCAACACTTAACATTGAATCGGGAATTTTAAACATATGCTGATATACAGCTTTTAAACATTTTTGATTTCGTAGTTGAAGTGTATGTAACATAAGAGCGGATAAGAGAGTAAAGGTAAAAAAAAAAAAAAAAAAAAAAAAAAAAAAAAAAGCTTCAAAATAAAGGCAAAAAGGAATAAATAAATAAAATCTGAAAAGTTTAAGGATTTTTTATGCTCTCGCAGATCTGGCAGTGTACCAGACTGCTGTTGTACTCACTACTGCTAACTTAATTATTAAACACCATTTTCTTCCCACTTAACGTCATATACGACTCAAACAGCAAAACTGCAAAAGTTTTAAAAGTAGCATATTATGATATGTTTAGAATACCGATGCAGTGTTAAATATAGGCATATGTTTTTTTTATTAGCTCAAAAGGGACATTAATCCCGAATGGGATATTAATCTCGAAACGGCATTTTGTGTTGGAACACTATAAACGCCTTCTCAGCTTTCAAACGGATATATGGTATTCTCCCGCCTTCTTAGCATGCCTTCGCAGTGTAATGGTCAGTATGTCTCAATGCATATTCGAAAGGTCCGTGGTTCGAGTTCCGGCGAAGACATTGCTTATTTTCATGTCTCCTGCTTCCAAATAACCGAATGTCTCTACAGTTGTGCTGAACTAAAATGGTGGTGGATGATGATCGTCCACCTCCAGGATTTGGCGATTGGGTCCCCTCATCTCCATTTGCCCTTTAAAAGGGGAGTATATAAAGTATTTCTCCCGCCTTCTTAGCATGCCTTCGTGGTATATTGGTCAGCATGCTCGATGCGTATTCGAGAGGTCCGTGTTCGTGTACAGGCTAGGGCATTGCTCCTTTTTCATGCCTCCTGCTTCGAAAATAACTAATGTCGCTACACTGTTGTCTCCAAATACTATCGCCGTGTATTGCATGTAAAGAAATTGAATAATGAGGTATCTGCATGAATATATGTATATTGAACTGTGAAAAAGGTACCTAGATCCATTAAGTTTTGAATAACGTAGTCCTCCACTCGAACATGGGCACCTGGAAGCCCGAATTTTGAATTTCGAATTTGTTTTATTATCTATATCATACTTTGTAAAACGTTAACGAATTTTTAATTAAGAAACTCAACGATTTCAAAGCGAATAGTGTGAAAGAAATAATCGCTTCCGATTTGAAATCGAAAAAAAATATGTCCAGCCTTCGAGACTGTCTATCGGAAATTCTAAAGATGTACTGTTTTTGAATACTTGAATGAGTGCGAAAATTAGTGTTTTTCAGAGTTTTTAATTAATATCTCGACTGATTAAAATCGTACGAAGACGGGAACTGTCGAAATGACTTCTCATGAATTTTTGGAACGGGAAGTAATGTATTTAATGTTTGGCAATGTTATTTTTATTTTATTGTAAAACTTAGAATATGTTTATTATATTATTTTCGGGACGTTAAAATTTTTAATAAAATATTTCATACTTATTTGACTTTGAACTTTCATTGCAAGGAATCATAAAAGGAGCTTCAGCTCTATGTCATTTAATGAAATCTAATGTATATATTTCCGACGTGCTGCTACTGTTTAACTGC